CTTGAGTTTTAGGCCAGACTGGGGCATGCTGAGACCCTACTTAAAAATACCAAATAAAATAAAGGAAGGAAAAATAATAGAAAGTAAAATCATACTCTAATTCATATATTTTATAGGTTATTTTTTTTTACTATGGAGTTATTTTTGTTTATTAACAGTGCATTCCAAGACATCACATTCATCACCGATCATAAATTCATAGTTCTCTCCTACAATGATCATACTCTACCTATTCTTCCTAGTGGCTCAATAGTAGTAGACTATGCTTTGTTATAGTATAATATTAAAATGAGAGCATAAAAGACATTTTTGTTGAAATCTAGGGAAATGCTCAGCTTTGCTAGGTCTCACTTTTTACCACAACTATTCAAAGATTTTTCTTTATATATAAATATACATTATGGTATATTTTCATATCAATGGTATCGTACATGCAATACAATGTCTCATATCTCAAAGCAAATTTAGGAAGAAGTTCAATGTATGGAATGATATTTTAATGTTATTTTATAGATCCAATCAGAAAAAGGGGAATTTTTCATTACCAAGAATCCTTATGCTTTTGTTTATCCAAAAAAAATTCTAAAGTTGAGAAGTTTTATTTAAAGCTATAAACACAAACACACATGCACACACACACACACACACACACACACACACACAGTCAAATGCAGAAAGACGTGGGAGTCTATTGTCTTACTCATTTATGTAATTTTTAATTAAGGTTTTCAGGGATTCAATAAAATCTTTAAGTTGTGGGGCTAATATGTAGACTTAAATACAGCAAAGATTTCAAAATTCGAGGTCTAAGATGCCTCTGAGTCTAAGAAACTGGAGGTGGCTTTCACACCCCCAGAAGGTCTCAAAACAGCTTTCATTGGCGCTCGTCAGCCTGAAATCCCTTTGACTTTGTCTGGAAAACATTTTTCATTGACAATATGGGAATCAAAAAAATGATTTGGTGATGTGTGTTCCCTTAAGAGTCACCAATAAGAACATGGATAATTATTTTTTAATCAATGTAAGAATAATGTTATTCTCAAATTCTAGCTCTGTAAAATCATGCATAGACCTACCCTGATTCACAGTCAAATTGTGAAGGCCCAGGTGAATCGTGGGGAATCTTTGTTTTAGAAAGTAATGCAAACAAACACTGGCAAATTATTTAACATTCTCAGCTGAAAATTGTAATGCCACCTCTGTTATCTCAACTTAGAACATTATGCTTTCTGGGGTGAATTTCAGCACCAAAGCTCATCTTTAATTTGGTCTTTGAAACCTCTTATGTAATGTCATTCAAAAGTCTTAAATATACTGTGATAAATACCACTGCATTCACATCTATCTGTGCCATCTAGACCTAAAATGACTGACCTCCACAGCCTCACTTGCACAGTTTCAGGTGCTCCACTTCTCCCTTTCAGGGGGTGAATTTTCCTTCAGCTGCACATATTTCTAACAGGATTGTGCAGGTAAAGGCTTGACCTGAAGACACTAAGGTACCAGTGGTCACTTGATAGTTGCCAAAAAAGAGAAACCTTCTTGAATTCTGAAAGCAGAGATTGGGGCGTTTGCATTATTTAAGGCTGTTTTGCTTGCTCTTCATTAGTCAGTTAGCAGAAATTTATGCTGAAATACATTTCACCAGAGACCATATTTATTGTAGCTTTTTAGGTAAACATAAACTGTGTTTGGGCTTACATTCATCCTGTCATTCCATCGTTGAAGGACATGCCTTTGCTTTGAAGCATTACTTATGGGATAAACACACGCCCTTCTTTCAAGCTTGAAGGTCATTTTCTATCTGACCTCTGTCAGAAGAATTCTTTGCAGCATGCTTATAGCAATGCCAGGGAGAGGGACAGTGCCGTGGGGGTGGGGACATACAGAAATCTCCCCAGGCCTCTTGGGAGCCAGGCTTCTCACACCTGCCTAAGTGGTGAAGGCTGCCTTAAAGAACGGGATCAACACAATTCTGTTCATTACCTCCCGCCCCATTTCCTTCCAGGGGAATCTGGTCCTCCTGTCACTCAGGATAACTACCCCTTGCCAGCATCGCCGAGATCGACAGTCATAGTAATCTTATCAGGAGTGTGATTCCCCAGCTGGGACCATGAATTTATCTAACTTGGAGGTAGCTGGTGAGGGCATCTAATCCCCTGTGTTGATGTGCTGAGCTTCCAAATAATGCACAGTGGTCCTCTTACAAAGATGGCCTCGTTAGTTGACAAAGTCAGGAAGACGTGCGCCCAAATGTGGGCAGACTAATTAGAAACCTCTAATATGTTATGTTGTTAGCCCATAACAGAGTTGCCTCTGGCTGCTTGCAGATAACTCAGCCTCACTCTCAAGTAAATTTCCAGTGAGCCAAATGAAAACTGGACAGAATGTTAGAGGTGACAGTCGCTGTAACCCCTAGACACTAAAGAGTTTTGCTTTCTTTTTAACCCTAAAATAAAGCTGACAGGAAAATCGTAAATTTCTAGTAAATATTTGATAATGTGTTTTAAGTATTGCACAGGTGATTTTCCTAATTTTTCTTCTGTTTTTTAGATGATTTCTTAATCATTTTTTTTTAAGTTTCATGACTTCAAAGATCTTACTGTAAAGAAAAGCCATTTAAAATACTTTGCCGCTTCCCTTCCCCATCCCCCTGGCTGGGGTTGCCTTCCGACCTCCCCACAAAGCACAGTGCTGTAACAGAAGAGCATCGCTGGGTGCTAGTTTATGTCAGAGCCCATCACTATAGAAACCTCTGCTTTGCTTCTCTCATGTCTCCTCCTGTTTGATGAATTCTTAGTGCCAGCAAGCACTGAGAGAGGACCATCTTTTCCTTCCAAAAGTGACCTTTGACTCAAGGTAGCGTTTCAGAGCTCGCTTTCACTAAATAGTGCAAGTAAAATTGAGGAGCAGGAAGGGCTAAAGGAAGTTAGAAAATAGATTTAGAAGCAGCATATCTAAGGCATAAGGACTCAGCTCATTTAAAAAAACGTCCTCTGTACTTTTTCTGTTTATCTTCATAAACATATCTGTTTATCAAGATACAGGATTGCATAAGTATATATTTATAAACTTGTTTCCAGTTGGCATCTGAGAGTAAGCTGGCATCTCTGTCACACATATACACATAAATGTGCATACATATGAATATATATGCACATGTTTATTTTTCGTATGAGAATCTGAGTGTAGATATATAATTGCATGGATCCACTTGATTCTAATGTATCTTGTTAAAAATGACTTCATTTTTGTAAACTTACTTATATAGATTTTATTCTTAGCTGGCATCAGAAAGCAAGGTGGCATCTGGTAGAACTTTTCAGTTTTCATTTCCTGCGTGTGTGTGTATGTGTGTGTGCCATGTGAACACCTATGTAAAGTATGAATGTTAGAATGGGTATGTTGTGTTTCTTATTGCTTTGTGTATTTCCTTCAGTAATGATGATGTAAGAGTAACTAGAATTGTAATTATTACATTTAGTATTCAAAGGTTGAATTTAGAAAGCAGTTAAGGAGTTTTTTCACAAACAACCAGATGATGGAGGGCCAGTATTTACAGTGAGCAGGAGAGCACAAAGTCAGTTAAACCATCAGTAGAGGAGTCAAGACCCAGTATAATGGTACTACTTTATCGGGTATAGTAGACCTTTTTGTGCTTTGAGAAGTTACAGTTTAGTGCTTTTTATATATGCATGCAAATTTGAATTATGGAATTTATAGTAAATTAATTTGCCTTAGTTGAAATTTTGGTTGTTCTTGAGAGCAGTTTTTAAGAACAATTGCAAGTGCCGACAATACAGATGGAATTTGCCTTCCAAAACAGTTAACTTGTTCACTTAAACTTCTTTTTTAAGAATATTTTAATATAGGCTTAAGCTCCAGATCTAAGACAAAGAAAGTCCCTTGGAATAAAGTAAGATACACCCCAGAGCATGAGTTTGGGATTCTCAGAGGAGAGTTGTCTAAAGTCTGACTGATAGCGTGCTAGGTTAATAAAGATGTTTATTTTCAATTAACATTTTTATGAAAAGAGAACAACAACCAAATTGTTTATGTATGAGAAAGAAAGTCAAAGCCAACATCCATTATTAGAGCCTGGTGTACTATCACTTTTCATTGTATTCTATTAGGAAATTCAAGTACTATTAACATTCTCTTAAAAAAAAAATATATATATATATCCACACACCTGAGTGTGCGCGCACACACACACACACACCCACACACCTGAGTGTGCGCGCACACACACACACACACACACACACAGTGTGGATGACTGGCTGGTAATATCCATTTAGCATTTCAGTTTGCCGCAATAGAGAAATAATTCACTCAGTTCTGACGTTAATCTTGCATAGATTGAATATGTATGTACTTTCTGCAACTTTGTACGTAAAACTTCAGGTTCCTGCCTGCTGACATACTTGTTAGTGTAATGGGTGGAATAATTTAGCCATAGTCACTTTGGCTGTATAAAAGGCTTATATGTAGCACACTGAAGATGGCATGCATAGCTGGTCATGAATTTTTGTGATAGCTGAGATAATAGAAATGAAGATCATGAAAGATCTATTTCCTATGCATGATGAGAATGTGCCCTTTATGTGTAGACACACAAGATGATCAGCTGAAACGGATGTGGCTTTCCTATGTGGGAGCTACCGGGTTTACATACAGGCACCAGTTGCTCTTCCTAATGGTTAATACCTTCAAACTTCCATTTATTCTGATTGCTACATATGTCACAGGATTCTTTTCCTGTGTTTTAGTATGTAATGTGTTTTAGTTATTTCAATCAGTATTAATTAGTATTAAATTGAATAGTATGGTTTTTATACTTCGAGGTTGAATGTTTCCTCTTTCACTGTATGTTGCTGCAATGTTCTCATGTTGTGTATGATTGACTAAAATTATTGCTGAAGTGTAAAGGAGAAAAATCTAATAGTATATTGACATGGAAAGAAAGCTTAACCTGTTTTCTTGCTCTTTTTTTATAGAGAACACCTGTTCCCAGCGCTGAAGCATTCCGGTGGTTCTTTTAAAGCAGTAGTGTATCTTATTTTCAAGGCATTTTGGAAACGAAGGGCAAACTAATGTCTTGTTTTAAGAAACCACTTAGTCCACCATTGAAGAAAATATCCAGAAATTATTTTCATTTTATGTATAGGGGTTTCTTCAAAAAACAAGAGGAAAAGAAAAGAAAAAAAAAGACATAAAATTAACAGGGAAGCTTTGGAAATTGGCCAGTTTATTTACTTTCAATACACTGATTCTTCCTTTGATGTAATTCAGCTATACTAGTGAAGTTGTTGTCTATTTTGAAAGTGGCTGTAAAAAGAAAAAAATAAGTTTGGGTAACCCCCGACTGTAAAATCATGTATCTTTGCAAAGTACATATCTATACTTCATTTTCAAATATATGTGATTCAGTACTGTAAACTGTACAGATAGCAGCTTGTATTTTGTGTGTTTAGACACAAGGAGACAATCATGTCTGAGCATCTCTGGAGATTAACAGTTTGTACACAACAATATGGTTCTGCAAGTTAAATCTGGAGCAATAAATTTTAGCTTTAAATATTTTTGCCAGTGGTTTGTAGAAGCAGCGGCAACACTGGTGGTAATTCCTGCATCTTTCTGTAGAGACTCGGTGGCCGGTTTTACAAGACTAAGAGATAACGCTGCATCCAGCAGTTACCTTCAAATGTGTCAATGTAAGAGGGGAAGCTACTGTGAAGGTTTCAATGGATCTTTTGAGCACTATATTAGAGTAGTGGTTATGCACTTGCGTTGCTTACAAACGAGCTGTACAGAGGGTATACCTCCAAATACTTAGTGTAGTTGACTTGTTTGGGTTGCACTGTAAGGGGAGTACTCAGAATAGTTGGGAATTGCAGAATCAGTTGTATAAATTTTTTTAATTAAAAAATTGTTTCCTAGGCTGAAGTTATCAGATCATAGAAAGAGACAGTCATGCCTGACAATTTTTTTTTCCTAGCCACACACAGTCTGTCCAAGCTTTTTGGCTATTTGTTTATTCATTTGCTTTGGGGAGAGGTAGGAAAGATAAAAACAGAAGAGTCTTCAAATGTTTTAATTCCATGTATGACATTGAATGGGCAGGTTGAAAACAATCCTTGAATGCATCAAAGCTTACTTTAAGGCATGGCTGGGCATAGTTTCAAGTTAAAAATAATTAAAGACATCCATTAAAGTGAGGTGGTTTTTTTTGTTTCTTTACTTTCCTTTCCATAGCCTCTCAGTTGGACGAGTGTTCTTCCCCTGGCCTCTCAGAGGAACACCCACTGCTTCCATTCCCATTCTTATCCCAGGATGCTTTCTTTCCATAAAGCAAGGCCACAGTGAGAGGAATTTCATAAAAGACGAGACAGCTGACCCCCAGGATGCTTAGAACCCAGGAGCCTCGTCCCGTAAGATTGGGTTTTCCTAGGACAGTTGTATTTCTTAAAGGATGCCTATCCCATTAAAACAAATACTTTAATTTTTTTCTTAAAATTAGACTGTAAGGGTCAGTTTCAGGAATAAAACATGGTTTAGTAAAAACACATGGAATAGCAGAGTTGCCATGTACTCATATCTTTGTTTTATCTGCCTGTCAAAGCAGTGAGTGAGAAGAAAGACAACAGAAAAAGGGTGGTGGTAGAGCAGTGAGGACTTCAAAGTGTAACGTGCTCCAAAATCTTTTAGTTTTGAATAGGAAATAAGATTACAGTTTTTTTCTAAGGGCGGGTCAAGTACAGTGTCACCGGGGCACCTTGATGAGAGCAGAGTGAGTTTCTATGATGCCAGTGCGGGATACCAGTGGGATGAATGTGCCTAGCTAGCATACCAACGCCTAGTCTGCAGTATGGTCAAGCAGTCTCTGTGAGGAAAATGCATTATGTATTACACCCGCCTGTGTTTAGAGAAAGGAATGAAATCATCAGAAGCTAAAATGGGCTGTATATTACTTTTGAGATAGCTTTCTACTCCATGTGTATTCCTTAGAGGGTTGGTGGTTATCATTTCTGCTTCTGCTGGAGGACCAATGAGTGCTGTATGAGTTCTTCATTGTCCCATTGTTTCTTTTCTTCTCTCTCTCCCTCTGTCTTTACAATTTTTATTTTACTTTATTATTTTTGCCAATGTGTTACCTATGGGTATGTGGAAACTTATTTTCACACTTGAATGGGAAGCTTCCCTTGCATTTGTAAAAATGATTACAAATGAAACAAAGTTCTTTTCAAACTGTATTAGGCACACAATAGGGACGTCATAGCAACATACGGACAGTCAAAAACTCAAGGTGGTATTGCATGTCTTGATGTATTCTGTTTTTTTAGACTTTTGTGTTTTGTTTTTTTAAGACAGTGAATATGTGTATTGTAAATGTGTGTTTCATATGGCAGTTCATTTATTTTTAATGAAAAGAATGTGTTACTATAATGAGCAGTGTGGCCTTTTTCTTTAATTCTTACATTTTGTTATTTACGGTAATTTCTTTTGTGCCACATACTTTATATTTTCCCTTAAAATCATTTTACAAAATATAGGGTACATATACAGTTCTCACTGGTTATGGTAAAGAAATTATCCTAGATTCCCTCTAGTTTTCTTTCTCAAGTGTTGGTGCATAGACAACTTGTAGCCTTAGGGCAGTGAGTTAACGGTGTGCATTTTCCTTATTCCAAAATATCAGTGAAACATAACCTTTAACAGTTGCTCACTCTGTGTTTCATTCTTCATATCAAGGAAAGTTAGAAATTAGCCATCAGATTGTAGGTTGTATATATGCAACTTAAAAATTACACCTCAGATATTGCTAAGGTTATTAGAAAAATTCACACACACACAAGAGTTCAGTCATCAGTGGATGTCTTGTCCTGGCGACATTTGAGAGAAGCACAGGAGAATATATGGGCTATTGACACCTGCAGTACTAAGTAAATGTTCCTCTTAGTAGCCCTCAGCACTCTGGTAATACCACAATGCAGAGCTGCCTTCTCTGACCTTCAGACTAAGGTGAGTTTCTTTCTAGTGGCCTCCATCTGTCCTCATACAAGCAGAAGCATGTTCACAAAGCAGTAGTGAATCCATCCCTTGGACACAAATAGAATCATCGTCCCCCTAAGATATGCAGATATAAGAAGTCTCCTGGTTGCTTAACCCCCAACTTTCAGTTTCCTTCTGAGCAATCCAAGGGAGTGGAAGACGATGGGCTTGCTATGACTTAATATTAAGTAATCACTAAAAGAAAGAAATGTTCCATCCCTTGTCAGAAACCCTGGCATGGACGTTGTTCAATTAGTGCTATAGCATATAAAGCCTTGAAGCTGATAGTATCAGTAATCAAAGAATGAAAAGAGGGGCACAGTTAAATGAATGCATGATTCAGGGTCAAATATGTTGAGCAGAAAGCTGTAGTGGGTCTTTGATCATGGTGAGATTCACAGCAATAGCAAACAGTTGGTTCCCACGAAGCAGCTAAACGTTTCAGATTTTGTTTTTATTCCATTTGGCGTTTCACACTGAGATCTGTATTCCTAGTGAATGAAGCACAGCTACTGTGTTCCGAGGGATTCCATTTCATGATGGCCAAATAGATATTTCAGGATGTGGGTCTCAAAGTGTACTCCTTTACTGGTGTCCTCCCGTTCCGAACTGTGCAGTTATCGGTTACATTTTCTAATAGATATTTGTGTAAAGGTGTATGTAAGCGTGTGCAGTTATTTAAAAAAGCAGTTTTGGAAAACAGTGTATTTATTGAAGAAAAAAATCACTTATGGGGCATGTACAAAACTGTAAAAAAAATTAAAAATCACTTCAATTTTCCCAGTAAAGTTGTTTTTGTGAAATTTCTGTGTTGTTAAATAAAGGACTTTAGTATTCAAAATATCTCCATTTTTCCATGACGAAAATTTTATTTGTGGGATTTAAATTAATGAACACTCAGTTATGAAAATCTAATATTGCTTATATGTAAAAGTTTGTTATTCTACATGTGCTCTTATCTCAGTGGTATGATGCTGTGTGCAAATCTTTCATAAAATATGCTATTATTGTTCTTTTTGTTCATCCATATCTACCTTAAGTGTGCCTATCTTTCTATCATCTATCTGTCTGTCTGTCTGTCTGTCTGTTTATCTATCTATCTATCTATCTATCTATCTATTTATCTATCTATCTATCTATATATCTATCCATCCATCCATCCATCCATCCATATAATTTCCATAAAAAAAGAATATTATGCTTAGGATCTATTTTTCTTGAAAACTTTTAAAGACTAAGTTAAAGATTAACAAATGAGCCCTAACTCCCCTCCCTCTCATCCACTGTAAGCATGCCTAAAGGAAACACCTCAAGCCTTCCTTCTGCCTTGAGTGGAAATCTTTAGTGATTCAGACTCTTGAAGATGTTGTACATGAAGAACTATGGCACATGGGATTGTGTCTCCGGCCACTCCCTTGCATTTTCTTTGGGTATCTGCATTGTGTTAGTTTTTCTTGTTCTGAAATGCTGCGATCCACCACTTTGCCTTACTATGTCCTGAAGCCCTCCTTCACCTCTTAGTACAAGGGCTAATTTTATTTGATGCCTTTGAGACTACATGCACACAAATTTCAACTAGAACATGGTATTAAACCTTGGAAATCCTTGATATAGGAGCACAACAGAACTTCATACTATTCAAAGACTTCCTGTTCACAGACTACTACATGGGAAGATGGTTTATGTGTGTATTGACATCGAAGTGTGCACTGTTAGGATTTAACATTGTAAATGGAAAATATTTGGAATAAGGCAACATGATGGAATTACATAGAGCAAGAAAGAGGACTTTAGTAATTCTAATTACAAGAAACTCCCAAATAGGCAACAACTCAGGTAAGTCACTATGACTTTTTTACATTTGGGTGCAAGCAACGAAAGTATGCTAAATATATTCAGTTAGAATTTGGCAAGTAGTACTTTTCTTACTTAAACCTGGAAAGAATATGAATGCCTAGAGGTTTTTATGTGATGATGAGATGATTTTTCAACATTTTGAAAAGTAGAATGCCTTATTAACTATTCTAATATTAAGCCAGATAATTTGTATGGTTTCTACACATAGCATGGTTTTTCCAAGTGTGTTGGTAAAAGTGTTTGATTATGATATTATGCAGAACTGATTCCCCATTCTTGTGTGTGTGTGTGTGTGTGTGTGTGTGTGTGAAGAAAAATATTCAAATCTACCACTGTAGACAGTGCAAAAACCTTTGCATGTGCTGTGTTCATAGAACTTAGACAGGAAACTTATTTATTTGAGAATTGGGCCTCCAATCTTTTGTTCTGCAATTTTGGCTTGAATTCTACTTTTGCATCCTTAACAATTCAGATTTATTTTATTTTACTTCATTTGCTTCATTTTTTTATTTTGCCAGTTCTCAAGTCAATCTTTCCTAACTACTGTGTATTGTGAGCTATTAACCAAATTCCATCTTCACTCAGGTCCTCCTTTCTCGAGCTGTGAAAATGACTGTGGAAGCATTGCTTTGTCTTCCCAAGAGTGCTGCTATTTAAACCCAGTCTGAGGCTAACTTGAGCATCAAGGTTTTTTTTTTTTTTTTAATATGCAAGTGAATTTCATTACTGTATTCTCTGGGAATCAGAGAATTGGGGGGAAATTATGTAGAATCTTTTGAGCTTTGTAAATGTTCTTTATTGAGGTCTGGTTTTGATTTATTGTGTCCTACTTTCAAATACTTAAGGAACTGTCCTGAAATTGTGCCTACGTTTACTCTCCAGATGTATTACCTTCACATCACTCAAATAACTGGTATATTTATGTTCTGTTAAGGTATTTATTTTGAAGTTTAAATGTACATCTAAATATTGATAGGTGACTTGATTTGTAGCTTTGAAGAATAAAGTTAGTACCAGGTAGAAATAGAACAGTCTAGGCATTAAGAATAGTATGAAGATATTCTCCTGTGCTGAGAAGAAAAACCTATCTTGTAAATATTAAGAGCATGAGAATGTCAAGTGTCTGGTCCTTAGAAGAGACAGGGGATGATTACAGGGACCTTGTAGATCACACTGGGGATTTGCCAAAAGAACTGATGGAAAGCCACTGATGATAAGGAGAAATCCCAAGAACTATCCATGAGTTTTACACTATAGATGGTTAAAGTTGTAGGAAGGGCAGCAACCTAAAGTCAATGTAATGCTGATTTAATGTGGAATCAGGATAAGGATAGTGAAGATCGTAAAATCAGACTAGTTCAGTTTATAACACAGAATGAAGGCAATAGGACCTGTAGACATACAAAGAGTTACATAGGTTAAAAAGAGAAGAATGAGTAATGACTTCTGGATTTTAACATAAATAGCTAGAAAAGTGAAGTCAGCATTTGCCGACATGAGGGGAGTTATAGTTTGTTTTAAACATACTAATTTTGATAATATGGCTGAACGGTCAAGGTAGATTCATAGGTTGGAGGTAGAAATTGTATTTACAAAGAAGAGCCTGCCTGGCTATTGAAGGGGGGAGTGTGAGTGATCTGGAAGAAGGGGCTTAGGGATTGGTCTGGGACTCTCCTATGATAATTGCGTTTTTTAAAAAATTCTATCCAGCTTTTTAATTGAGGATCAAGATCCTAGATTGATAAGGCTAGAGAACAAATGGAAATCCAAGGGACGAACAGCAGTAAATAGTTTGGGTTAACCTCCCTTCTCTGGGACTCATTCCTTTGTCCTTTTGTTATTTCAATCAACTCTCTATCACATGCAAAATTTGTACACTTTATCAATAAATATTTATCCACACATAATTATAATTAATTACATATGCAAATCTTATCTCTAACGCATAGGCACATTGTGTACAAGTTGAATGTCATAACTGCTGTTTTTAAAAAATAAGCACAATTGTACTGAATTTGACTTCACAATTCATCTTCTGTGTTTATATTCCTTGTTGGCCATCCCTTAAAATGATATTCTTATTATTTATTTGATATCTCTGGGGACTGGAACAGAAAGTGGGTAGATGATACTGAAAATTGAGATTAGTCTTTGTTTACTTCCAGTCCCAAAAAATGGATTTGCCCAAATGATCCATTACAATGTAAAAGTTGTCTCATAATGATAAAAATACTGCAGTATACATTTTTCATTAATTTTCACTCTAGTTTCTATGCTGCCATTCTCTACAGAGTTAATTATAAACATTTTTACCAGGAGTTAAAATTCATTCCAGGGAGTATAATGAAAACATAAGGACTTGTATTTTGTATTTGAAGAGAAAGCGGTCACCCTTCTTTAGGCTCTGAAGCCACCATTTTAAAGAAGTTTCCGTAGGATACAAGTACATCCTTGTCACTGTAGTTCTGTGGACCAAATTCCTCCAAATCCTCCAAAAGAAATCCTCCAAAGAAATAGAGGACCATTAGTCCTAGCCCACCGTAATCCCAAGAACCTCTACATCCAGAACAAGAAAACAACTATGACAAACAGAGAAATATTTGGTTCCCTGATTGCTCAACAAAAATTCAAGAATATGAAGTTGTTAAGGAGTTTAAAGAAAATACACAGTTGGGAGACCTATAAAACAGCTGATGCTTGCCGACAGGTTCCATCGTTAAGAAAAACATCACATAAATAAATGTTCAGAGAAACATGTAAAGGTAGTTTATACACTGAATTATGTGGTTTATTCCCACAATGTAACAAAAATTGTGAGCCCGAGAAACCAGAGTACACGTGACCAAGCTCTTAAAATGGTGTTAAAGGCACGGGGCACGAGACTGACGGAGGTGCTTTAAGTCATACCAGACAATAGGCTTTCGCTTTTTTGACCTTTTACACAGCTTCTGTGTCTATCCACTCTGTTCTGTCTGTTCTGACTGCTCTGTATATGGAAGGAAGAGTGATGATTAATTCTTGTCAGTAATCATTATATACATTGCCAATATTGTACATTTATATCCTCCAAATCACAGTCTATGTGTACCTCCCTTGTGTTTTTAGTTGAAATTAATACAAAATAGGCAAATAAACCTTCTGATTGAGACTTTTGGAAGACCTTTGATCCTCTTATGTCTTTAATAGACAGAAATTACATTAAGTTGTGCGACCTTCTGTGGTTGTCATGTACACCAAGTAGTTGTAAATTAGCATGCGGTAGTTGTCTCGACGGAGGCTGCCAGAAAGTAAACTCTAAGGTGTTGATTGGAATTGAAAAATGAATTTGTATTTTGTTCATGGTATGAGCTCTATATATCTCACTTCATAAACTTTAAGGGAGAAACTATCAGGAATTGTCTTCCAGTGATGCTACAATAGTGGTCCTCGAACAATTGCTCTTCATAGCTTTGACACTTATATGCTTGCGATTATGTCATCTGATTACTTTATAAAAAAGTAACAAATAGGCTTAACATAGTAGATTACTTACTAATTTCTTCAAAGACTTGTGGGGAGATGGGTTTTGATAGGAAAATCTGCTGTTTGAAAGGGCATTTCCATAGAAATGAAGTAACCAGAACACAAATCCCCTCTGTTAATACGTATGGACAAAGGGTAATTTACAATGAAGTTATACATCAAAAACAAAAAAAAATTAATTGCATTCTAAAGATTAAGATATGTGTATCTCCACAGCTGTGTTTTCTACTATGCCAGTCTCTACGTGAGCTGTAGAATCCAAAGATATGATTACATTTCATATACCCACCCTTCCTTACTTATTAAAGATGAAATGGTTCCTATAAGAACAGGACAGTCTAGAATATTAGAAGAGAGGAAGTGCATCCTGGACAAGAAGTTAAACTGACAGAGGGGAGGTTATTTCTGAGATGGAAAGTGTTGCAGAAAGGCTAAAGCA